AATACAAATTTGACTTTTGGTTTAATGAATGGTGGCATTTTTGCAAGAGGGTATGCGTGTGTGGTATTATTGAAAAGAGGTATGTGTGGCATTTTTGCAAATGACTTTTAGTTTCATTCGTTTTTTTCATTCCGTAAAAAAAAATTGCATTGCAATAAAATGTTGTTTTTAAACAAAATTATTTTCATCATTTTAAAGCAAAATATATAAAAAATACTACGATTTATATATAAGAACATTTATATTATTATAATACCATAATATTTTAGACGGCACAAACGATAATCTCCACGGTCTATGCCGCGCCTAGGCGAATGCCTAAAACGTTTTCTTAAAAAAAACAATAATAATCAACTTCATTCATTGGTATATAAAAGTCTAATTTGACATTAAGCATAACATGATTCGTGCTGTTTTCTTGTTTATCATTTTCTAATTATGTAATTTATCAACCCGGAGAGTTTTATAATTAGATAGAGAGAAAGTAGAAATAAGTTCTCTCTTACTAGTGTCCCTTAGTCTGTTTGGAAGTGAATCGTAGACAATTAAAAACCAAAGAATTTTTTCAACTCTCTTTAGTAGAAAATATTTGAAAAAGAATTATTTAAAAGAAACAAAGTTACATGTTTTAAAATATGGTGAAGTGTAACGGTAGAAGACAGAATAGTGCATTGAATTTTTAACATGAAAAGAATATTCGGTCGTCCTCCTCTTCAATAATGGATTGGATTCTCATATGAACTATCTCTTGACGATGCACACACACTGCTGAATCCAATATCTGAGGATGAGGAGAGTACTAGTGTACGCCGTCGTTTTGCTTCTAGCTAGCCTCTCCCTGCCACGTGTCGTCAAATCTTCGGTCCGATGCAAAGCTTGGCTGGTTCAATCCATCCCCACCGATATGCCCGAGCTTCCTCGCATCTCTGGTGTACTCTCCACTGGTTATTACTCTTTGCTCTGTTTTTCTTGTTTTCAAAGAAAGTTTGGGTTCTTTTTGGTACTTTTAAAGTTGTTTTTTTTATTCAGTCCTCTGTTTCCTATGTTAGCTTTTTTTTTTCTTGATTTTAGAAAAGGTTTGGTTTTTTATGGTACTTTCGAAATTGTCTTTTTGGTTGTTGAGTTCCTGTTTCCTCTGTTTTTGTTAATTCCCC